TCCACATGCCATCCACAGTCGGGATTGGTTTTTATCGGCGATTATTGGCGATTATCGGCGTATTCGAAAAGGAGTAACCACCCAGAAACGACGAGATCAGGTTGAGACTTTCAGCGAGATTATCCGGGGAAAACGCGGGATCGCGAGGCTGGGGGGCTTCGGCACCGGCCAACGGGGGTGGGCGGGGTAATGCATTAGCCGGCTTCGGAGCCCAACAATCAAAATCAATCCGGCTGCCCGTCTGACAGTTGAGACTCAAAGGCAAGAGATTCTTCGGGCCTACTGATAGTCAGGTGGTCTTGTCTGCAATTTTCAACCCGATTGTGACTCACGATCCTCAGCGGCAAAACATCGGGAGAAAAGAAGAAGTTCTCGAGTCCCCGGATTAGGGCTAGCTTGTTGTCAGACCCTACACCACATGAGCCGATATGACAGACCCTATCACCACGATCGATGAATACGAAGCGCTAAGTTACTAGAAGTTCGAGGGTATCGAGGGTATTATATTTTGTAAATCAGCGTACTGTACGCATGCGTAAGGCGAGTCAATTGATGCGTAAGAAATTTAAAAAAAGCATTATCCCCATCCCTCCCCCTTTCCCCCCCCCCCCCCCCCCCCCCTCGGTGAGGTCTGCCAACCATCCTCTCTAACAGCAACCAAGAATCACATCTCCACAATCTCACCCTGGATCTTAGTCTTTTCGTTATCCAGGTCCTCTACCTTCTCAACCCCCGTGAGTCCCAGGCGGTCGTAGATAGCCTGCATCCTGAGTCTATCCGCCTCGGCGATGCTGTCCATGCTGCCCCCAAAGAAGACATCAAGCTCCTCCAAGGTCTTGTCTTTGGTTTCAGGTGCAAAGTACCAGATAAATAGACCTCCCAGGCCACTGAAAATGGCGAAGAAGATGTAGGTTCCGTACTTCATTGAAGCCAGCATATCCTTGGTGGTTAGGCCAATGACGAAGTTGAACATCCAGTTCGTGGATGCGACAAGAGACACACCACGAGAGCGAGCACTCGAGGGAAAGATTTCCTGTGCAAGGACCCATGATACTGGGCCCCAGGAGTAGGCGAACTGTGAGGCGAAGATCCAGATGAAGACGATGGCGACCCATCCTTGGGCCTTGTACAGCCCTTCGTTCAAATTCCAGTAATCCTCATAGATACCCTCGACGATAGCAACGACAATATGACAGCAGAACATGCCAATTGCACCGACAATGAGGAAGGTCTTTCTGCCGAACTTGTCCAGGAAAAGTACAGCAGGGAGCGTGAAAAGGATCTGGATGATACCAGTGACACCCGTAGCAAGTAATGTCTGGGTAGTCGACGAAAATCCGAAGCTGGCGAAGATTTGCGGAGCTTTTTTGGAGGGTTAGTTCAGTCTATTCGGTGTGGGATCAGGGTGGTACTGTACCATAATACAAAATTGCGTTGATACCTTGAGGATGTTATTAGTCGGGCTAAGCTAAACATTGAGCACAAGAGGACGGGACCCTACCGGTAAACTGCTGGAAAACCATCATTCCACAGCCGAGCCAGAGTCGCTTTCGCATATTTGGGGAAAAGAGAGCCTTCCAGGGGGCCCATTTACCGCCGACTCGAACAGCTTCGGCATTGGTCTCTTCGTCAAAAAGAACGGCCGCCTTGATTTCAAGGATCTCTGCCTTGAGCAAGGGATCGTTGGGTGAAAGACGCCGGATCTTAGAGAGTGCAGCAACTGCTTCCTCCTCGCGGTGCTTGGACATCAGCCAGCGAGGGGAGAAGGGGAAGAAGAACATTCCGAAGAAGAGAATCCAGGCGAACAGGATCTGCAAGGCCAAGGGGAATCGCCAGGCAAGAGGCTTCTGGCCCATACATGTGTGGCCGTGGGCCGCGTTGTAGTCGAAGGTTCCGTCGGCCAGGTAGGGGTTTTCCACACCTTCGGGGTTGCACTTGACACCACCAACGTATTGCATACCTATCACAATCGATTAGGCAATGACTGAGTAGTGTGTTGGAGAAGATCCTACCATAGTCCAGCCAGAAAGAGATGGCAGTTCCGATGGTGATCGAGAGCTGCTGCAAGGAAACCAGAGAGCCACGGAGCTCCGGTGGTGCGATTTCGGCTTGGTACAGCGGGATGACCTAAAGGAACATGCTTGTTAGACCACTACCCTTTCTCGCAAGGCATCCTTGGTGACGAGAACGTACCTGACTGAGCATACCAATACCAACACCACCGATGATGCGGCCAGCGAAAAAGTAGGCGGGGTTCTGTGCTGCGGATTGAAGAGATGAACCCAGAGTGAAGACAACAACAGCCACCATCATACTATATTTTCGCGAAATAGCGTCCGCGAGATATCCGTTGAATAGCGCACCAGCCCAAGCACCCAACTCCAAGGCAGACACCAGCCAACCTTGGATAGTAGAGCCCATCAACGAAGGAAAGTGCGCTTTGAAGTTCTCCATGACGAGAACAGGAGCCATGACACCTTGATCGTAGCCATACTATCGAGAATCAGTTTAAGCCACTCGGTATAGGGTGAGGGTAGTACTGTACCATAATACAGCCAAGCGAAGCAAAGGCACAGGTCATGAAGACATAAGGATTCTTGAGCATACCAACCAAGCCATGAGGCTTCTCGGCATTGGCTCGCCCGACCACTGACTGACTGACAACCATTTTGCTGGTAACAAACAGGACACTGCTGGGAAGTGAGGGGGGAAAGACGGGGCGAAGCGCGACATTATATGTGACTCCCCCGCTCTAAAAGTTTCCCCTGCTTTTATCTTCAAGATCCCTTTAGTCCAGATTCGGTTGGCTCGAGTCTCCATCCATCAGTGACTAATGACATGCGCAACGCCGCAAAGGCCCATGGACAATGGCCGGGCAATTGTCGGATCAGGCACTGTACCGAGTGCTCCCATCTCATTTGAAAGGAGCGGGTTAGTGAGCTAGCGCACCAGTCGCCGGCGTAGAATTCAGCCACAAAAAACTGAATTCGGGTTAGGTCTGACACATCGAGAGTTCGGCTTGTCCCCGTGGGTTGAAATGAATCCCGGGGAGGGGGGTTCTACGCTACCCCGGGAATGGCTACAAATTGGTTTAGGCTGCCTGATGGTGGCGCTGAGGTGGTCAGGTTCAGCGGGGCGGCGAAAACAGAAGAAACTAGCGATGTGAGAATGAGAAGTAGAGATTTCTCGAGTGAGTGGTAAGATAGGCTAGTCTAACTACTGGAAGTCTGAGAACTCTGCACAAAGGATCAATACTAAACCCCATGGGGAGTTTAGCGACGAACGAAAAGTGAAGATGACCAATGTGACTGATATGACCGAGATGACCGAGATGACCGACTCGTGGCGCAGCCAAGGTCAGGGGGTGTGAGACAAGAAGCCATGGCAGGTGGTGCCAATGGATGCCAATGGCGCCAGTGATGCCAGTAGTGCCAGTGGTGCCAGTGGTGCCAGTGGTGCCAGTGGGAAGAAAAATGTAAGCTCCGATGTGCGCGAGCCAAGTTGACGCCCAATGCTTGGATGGGGGGAGTGGCCGCCAAGAAGCTAAACCTAAGTCTGGGCTCTCGTTCGGCAGTCGGCAGTCGGCACCATGAGTAACTTAGTATTAGTTATTGCGCTGACAACAAATTCTGTCAGCGACTTTGACTCTTCTTCTAGGCTAGTTTAGACCTAGCTTCTGGGGCTAAACGAGATCATTCAGGTTTGCACAATTTTCACTAATTTACTCCGTACTCCGTATTCCCTACTCCTTGTTGTTGGTGTTGTCTGGGGAGTCTGAGTGGGGAGTTCCCAGTCTCTCCAGATTCCACGCGGCTTGCGTGGCCATCCGTTAACCAAACCCTCCCCTCCCCTCACGTGGCACTACCGGTTTTACGTATTTACCCCGGGCCCTGGCCATTCCCCAACCTTTTCCCTGCTTGCTTACTTGCTGGCATGCTGCCAGCTGGACTCGGACCGCACCCCCAACCCTCACTGCGCTAACTGTGTAAATGAGGGGAGTGTAACTGTAACCTGACCATCGCCCCTATAATTGGCACATTATAGCATTGATACTGCGGGGCGCATTTGTCACCATCCGTTTTATTGACTTCCCGGTTCCATCGTCCAAGAAGAAGCCTCCAAGACCGGCGCTTAAATTTTAATGCGGCATGCCTCGTGAGGTTCTCCTCTTCATCGGCATCGGTAGCGAAAATCAGATGATTACGTTTCGTGGACCGCGTCGCACTTTGGAAGCCGGGGGCGAGCTCACACGAAATCTAGATCTTACCGTGCGTTGCTTGCCAGGGAATCTTTGAGAGTGGTCCCCGGTGGCAACAATCTTGCATCAAAGCAGGGACAGTCAGTGGAAGAGGGGCTGAGAAATGCACCTGATCTTTCTAAGTCGTCAGCACAACAATCATAAATTACGTCTAGTGTGTAATATGTATACCGCTATAAAATACCCTGGGTCAGTGCACCCTTCTGGTCAGTTGTCGAACATGTCGGATTTGACTAAGTTATTTACTATCAGAGATAATTATCCATACTGACATTATTCAAGAGATTGGCAGTGTAACCCAAGCACGTGATTCAATCTCAGTACCAATCCGCACATCACTGCTCATCCAAAGTAGCTGTTTTTATCCTCCCGCATTGAGCAGCCTAGAAAACCGAACCGAAATCGGCTGGTGCTGCTCACTCCTTTTCTCGGAAATAACCTACACAACAGAGCTTGGCTGATGCCGCGATCGCAGGCGGCTCCCGAGTCCACCGGTCCTTGCACTACTCGGATGGGTAAGTTCTCCTTGGCATCAACTTCGGCCTTGGATGAGATCATTTATTTGCTTGGGTCGCACTGCAGCGATAGGCTTTCCATCTGAAGAAATTGAGCGTGTGAGATATCTGCGTTTGTTTTATACCTTCTCGTGAATTTGACCATACGGACCTGACAATCGAGCCTCGTTACAATGGCCTGTTGAAACCATCCAAATAGGCCGACTGATCAGACCCCTCACTCAAGCTCATAGACTTATTTCGTGTTCTCCTCGGTCATCTCGCCATTTGAACATCGTATGCGGCACCTCGAATTGAGCCGGGTCAATTTCTTTGATCACTGCATCTTGATAAGCAGACTTCACTTTTGATGTGCTGTTTGATAAGCTGTCCAAGTTATCGAGAGTACTGAACATAACTCCAGATGGGCAGTCTTCATTCAAATCAACAGCGTTCGAGTCCTTCTGTCCTTTTTCACAGTCGACGCTTCTTCTACCCATGATAGCAGGGTAAGTAGAGAAGCAGCTCAAGACTTCGGTCTGACACAGTCGACTGGCCACCACATCGAACCGTTCCTCTTGCTTGGGGGCGACCTCTAGGAGAGCGGTGAGAAGCTTTTGTGCCCCTTCGTTTGTGACAGCGTACGCTACACTACCCACGGCCTCTTCAATTTGACAAGCCAGGCGCATTTGATTCTTGACGCCTGCAGGGGGCTCCCTGCGGTATGACATCAGATGTCGACTTGGAACTGCTGTTATATCATGCGGTGCCAAAAGGAAACTGGAAGCGGCCGCACATCTCATTCCACAATGTCCCAGCCAGAGGAGGTCCCAACGATCCCCATACGGCAGTGCCGCGGATGCGTTGCTTTCCTGCATCAATCTCATGCCCGATGCGAGCCCCTTTAGTTGCATTTTGAGGTTGACATCCCAGTCGACGGTTTCCTCCATAATAAGTGCACTTGCAAAGCTTTCTGCCACCACTCTAAGACCAATGAGATATATGCTATATTTTTCATGACTGCTTGCGAGGTCATACCTTTGAATAGCCTTGAGGTGTATGTGGAAAGCCCCGGTGTCTGCTTCGCTTCCCTGGCACCGTCAGTGAGATATTCCGATTAAAGTGAAGTATCCTCACTTTCGAGGATTTCTCGGCATTGTCACGTTCTTTCGCCGGTGCCTTCGTGAATTCAAAATGAAGATGAAACCCTGTCATCAACGAACCCCGGGAGATTGCTTCCTGCTCGTCAGGACTGCGAAGTGTACCGATTACGATGACACGTTCGAACTGCCTTCTGTTAGCCTTGGGGAAATATTGGGGGATGTCGATACGAAAAACCCCTAAGCTCCCATTCCTGGCCACCTCAGACGTGTTTGGATCAAAACGAACCAAAGCAGGCCCATCGATCTCGGTATCACCATTGAAGCAGTAGAAGAGATTATATAAACAAACGATGGCCAATGAAGAGGCGATGAGAGTTATCAAATATCGATATCTGCATGGGAAGTAACGACGTGGGACTTTTGTGAGAGCCATGCTTTCACAACAAAAGCTGTCTCGACAGGCTCTGGGTGTACACCGAAAACATAGATTCCTCCCCTTAAATATCGAAAGTAAGGATCTCTCTAGATTCTCTCCGCTTCAAACCTCTCTACGAATGTGACAGTTGTGTGATTCGGACACTTCTTCCAGTTAAATCATGCGAAATAACGCCACCCTGCCGGCCTTTCCCGATTCGACAAATACTCAGGGTTCAATCCATGTCTAGCTCGGGAACCGGTCGGTCTACTATAGTAGTTAGCGTTACCAGGGCCATTTCTCGACCATCAATCTCACCCTCGTGCGATCCATACGTCTGGGAGTTTTCCAATCCCACCGCACTGTCAAGGCCCGGCCCGATACAACCATGCTATGTAACCTCGGTAAACCTCTAGAAATCAGCTATTCTGCTAGCATCATTGCGGCGAAATCCGTCTGACTATCAAGCTAATCCTGCGTAAACATAAGTATTTGAGGTAAAAAAAGAGGACAACCGAAGAATAAGTGATCTTTTTGCTATGCGCAGAAAACCCTTATCTCTACCCTCTATGTTAAGCATATACTAAATTGGCCCTGTGAGACAAGCAATACCACGCATGGCGAGATGAAACCCGAGTTGCATCGCCAGCTGTCGCCGTCAGCAGCTACCGATTGAGTCCGAGATGCCAATAGGCAGCAAGGTGCATTAGGGCAGCGGACAGCCAAGCAAAGACTCCTCCGATCTACCGATCTGACTTCCGGAATCCCCAACCCCACTGGGTAGATAGGTCCTCATCAACACCCACACATTGCAGGTACCTGCATTGGTAATACACAAGGCTCCTTATACTACCACGTGGTGGATCCCGAGTGCATGCTAAACTATGAATTGGAGGACAGCCAGCGTACTCGCGATGCTCATATCATGCACGATCACAACCCTTGAGTCTCCGATTTGTGTTCAGCGTGGCTGTCATTCCGAGCCGAGATTACCTCTCAATACTGTATTGCAGAAGTCCTATTCTTGCTTCTGGACAGATTACCTACGAGCTGTGTGGGATAATCTGGACGATAGTAATTAAGGATATTTGCGATTTGAATAACGCATAAGATGTCTTTGCTTCAAGTAGATCGTTTCCTCCATCCATGATCCGCATCGAGGGCGATAGTATCATTTCCAGAAAGCCTGGCTAGTGCGCTGGTAATTCCAAGACCCAACATACTTGGACTCGCGTGATGATTATGATTCGATCTCTCGAATGCCACACTGTGCCGTTACTGCTCCCCAAGCCCAGGTCTAGATTTTCATCAATGCGCAGGGATTCAGAACGCCATGCTCATGTCATCGTTACGTTTTAAAGTGTAGAACCCGGAAACCCGTTTTCTTGAGGGGAAAAACAAACAAAGTTCACCCCCAAAAGGAAACATTACCGAAACCCAGAGAATGGAAAGGATTCATTCATCTTGCTCGCTATCATAACTTATGTTAGTACTATGTAGATAGCTTATAGCTAGAAGATAACTTACGATTTGATGTATTTAGCACTGTGGTGGCGATGGACGATTTCATTGAGTTCAGTTCGAAACTTTGAAATCATATCTTTTCAACCGGTTCGGCCGGATTCACTCGCTCTTGCACAACCGCACCAAGGTCTGTCAGCTTGTCGCCGACGTCTATAATTTGAGTCCCGAAGGCCATTTGTTTCTGACGTATGTGAATCAACATCCTCAGGATGTCCTGGTCTAGGGTGGCGCAAAGTTCTCTCTCGACCTATTTTATTTGTTAAAACTGGTTGAAACTCAGGGCTAACCACACTCACAGCGACGAACTAAAGAGCAGATTAGTACTTTCTATTAAGAATATGGGAATAAACTTACAAATCTGGCTTGCTTGTCCATGTCTCTATTCTTGATCCTTGGACAAGCTGCCTTCAAATGGCCCTGCTCGCCGCATTCAAAGCATGCGCGATCCTAGTTTATTTAGTACCAATACTAAGATCTATCGGACGACTTACTTCGATAGGCGGCATGATGACGTATCTAAATTGTATGTTAGTCATTTTGATAAGCGTACAATTGGGATGAAGGGGCATGAGCTCAATGTGATGAGATGAGAAGAATGAGCTGATGCAGGATCGCTGGTGTGCAAACAGGCCCGTTCTACATGCAGAGATGAAATATAAGACAGCAGAGAGTTGAAGCTGGGACTGGGGATGATAGGCAATGGTAGCAGATGGAATACTTACTGCAACAATCTAAATAGCAAGTCAGTATATAATAGAGGATCTACTCACCAAATGTGCTCGTGCTCTCACTTCCTAACCCTCAACAGTCTGGGGGCACACGGCCTTTAAAATGCCCTATCTCATCATACTGGTGAAATACTTGAACAACTTACCTCGACGAACAGAGGCATTTTGATACGTCTGGATTGCCTGTTAGCCATTGTAATGACTACACAACTAGGATCAAACGGCATGAAATGAGATAGGCAGCTAATGGTTTCGTCATTTGTGGTCTCTTGCCAGTAGAGAGGTCACCACGTCTCATCTCTACAGCCTATACCGGACAAAGAAGGCGTATAAGACTTTACATAAAAAGACCTGTGCTTATCACATAGACTATATGCACCCTAATAACCCTAATAGGAAGATCTAAAAAAAAGACCCATAAGAAAGAACCCCGTTAGCAATACCTTCGGCCACAAAACATCACTAATAGTCCCTAATGTAGGGATATTGCTTCTTATTTTATTTAAGATGCACTGGATCTTATATACACCTTCAAATACATAAATACTTGCACTAGAAAAGTGATGTGTCTCCACTATTTACTCCAAAGAGCTAGAGGCGTACGGCTATCCAGAAAGGGAGCACGGACATCAAATCTCTGTACATCTGTATATGTGCTTGGATCCATACGGCCCGGCCGGGGGTTCATCTTTTGCTGACTGTGGTATTTAGCAATTCTTTCTGCCGGTAAAATTATTAATTTATACTGTGTTCTTGATAACTTCAGTTATACCAGCCAACATGTTTAAAAAGCTGATGCGGTCGGGGCATTCAGAAAGGCGGTGCTGCGGAAAATGTGTCCAAATCCTGTATGCAGCCGAGCCGGTTCAACAGGCGGCGAGTGGTGGTGTGAAAAATGCTTTGCGCGTGTGAGGCGTGCTGCAAGACGGCCAGATAGAGTCCTCGATGCAGATAAGGAATGCCTGTCTTGTGGGGGCAAGACGCGTGATTGGCATAAGCGTGAAGATGGTTGGCTATGTCATAATTGCTGGAAAAAAGAAGGCCCCAATGATGAAGAGATTAGAAAGAGTAGAAGAAGAGCAACTCCACGGACTGATTGTTGGCATTGCGGGAACGACAAGAGCGTGGCATGGAGCTTCAAATTCTGGCAATGGCTCTGCCAGAAGTGCAAAAATAGGGGCAAAGATGGACCTGAATGGCTACCTTTGCTTCAAAGACAGGTTGCCGGACTGGAATTCCCCTGTGACAACTGTCAAAGGATCAAGTCGAGAGGTTGGACCATTTCTGAAGTGAAAACTGGTCTTTATCGGCTTTTGTGCCATAAGTGCAAATGGCAGAAAATTTGTGTCGAGGACGAAGTGACATATCAAGCGTATGCTTGGCGAAGTGGTTATCCACCAACCGGCAGGGAACCACCCATGACGGAACAATTAGTTGCCTATATGAGGCAAAAAGGGATCGACAACAGTGCTGAGGCCATAAAAAAGCTGGAAGAGCCTGCGTAAGGCCAATTGAGATACGAGTCCCACAGTGAGAATGTGCCCTGTGGGCTGACATGAGCTGGAGTCTCTTTGTGGCCGACAGAATGACCGCAAGAGCCCGGGGTGAAGAATTAATTTGAAGTGGCAGTTGGCTCCTTGTGCAGTGCACCCAGAGGTTTCTGGGGAAACACGGCTTCATTTTGTGTTTGAATGTCAGATCTTGTGGAGCTGGCTGTTTAAAATTCATGACTCGACGGTTCTTGGTTGAATGGTGAGTCAGATACCGGACGTTCGACGGTCAGGCGAGAAAAAAAAAGCACAGTAAGTGGGAGTTTGATCGATTTGAAAGGCATCCTGAGTTATGCTAACATACCCTCTAGTCAACACTGAACGGAACTGTTCACAAGTCTTGTTGTGGGGGTTTGATGCGTGAGAAGAGTCCAATATCCCGCGATCCACGGTCATTGAGCTAATAGTATCGTCATGAATTAGGACTCTATGACCCGCCGAAGAATACGCAGCTCATATCGTCTCGTTGAGTTCCAAATCAGTGTCTGCCGAGCGACGAGAATCCGCGACTCGATATCCCCTGTGTGATTCAGTGCTTGTACAATCAAGGTAGTTCATGTTGAGAACATCGCAACGATGAATGGCCTCCGGCTCCGACTCTCGCTTCTAGAAATAGCCCCCTGTTGGAAATATGATGCTTGGCATTGTCGGCCGTTAAAAATTGCTGTTGGTCAGTTATCGGCTATGGGAGCTTCCAGTGTCGGACGGTACTGATATTCAGCTAACATCTCGATTTGCTATAGGGTTTTCTCAGTCTCCACATCATAGCCTCAGCCAGGAGTCGAACTTTCCGCACTCGTTCTATCGCTCAGAGCTAGAGGCAATTCATCCTCGTCAGAAGACCATCACAATTATATTGAATGAGAGAAATCCACGATGAGAATTTTACAATGGGATACTAAACAATTGTGAGAAGATACCGGCGTCCGTGACAATCTTTCAATATCTAACAACTTCTCCATACAGAATTAGGGTGCTCTTTCGTCGTTTCCTCCTGTCTAAGCATTCATCCAGCCCGAACATTCCTTCGAACCCCCAGAGTCACCACTTTGCCTCCAAGAATATGAGCATCTCACACAATAATGCGCTTTGTTTCTCGAGGCACCATAACTCTCTAAATCCCGATGCATCCACCCGCGCCAGCTGCGGCCACCGTTCAAGTCTCACTACTACTTCCCCCCCCCCCCGGCACAGAATGGGCTCCGTAAAAATGGACAGGAGCTGTGCACTGGGGCGATATCCGCTAGACCACAAGGACTGGGATTTCCTTCAATCGGCCCATCCTGAATTCTTTTCCCTCAAACAATGAGTCTTCTCCTGCAGTCATTGATACTTTGAAGGATTTCTTGTTGTGATTCTTAAGAAGAGGTGCTATGCAAGGACCGATGGAGGCATTCTGAAGCGGTCTGCAGGTGCTTGCCATGTACTGCGTCATTCGGATATGGCTGCTACTCTGAACAAGCACCGCTTGATATCGAATCCAACCGGCGGATAGGTTACCAAAACCTTGAAACTATTTATACCTTGCGAGCAATCGCAAGTGCTCGTTTGAAGCTTGACCATCATTGTTTTTTGATTCGAACAACCCAGTGCTTTGATTCGGTAAGTAGAAGGCAGAATCCCTTACTTTGTCATGGCTAACACCAGAACAACACAGGGTGACTCCCCTCGAAGAAGAGAATAGGAGAAGGAATACAACCGAACGAAAAAGAGAGATTGTGTCTGCATCCGCGCGTGTGGACGAGTATGAAGACGAAATTGAAGACGAAAATGGGGATGAAGAAAAGAAGAAAAGAAAAGAGAAGGAAAGAACTGAACCAGAAAAAGATGAACCAGAAAAAAAAAAGTGAAGGAGAAGAAAAAAAGTGAAGAAGAAGAAGAAAAAAAAGACGACGAAAAAGAAGAAGAGATGCAGAGCGATCGCTCGCTACTCGACACATGCAAGCAATCCACCGCAACACATCCTCGGTTGCCCTCCCACAAACTTATGCGCTCTGATCGCCCAGTTGAACTCCCATCTTTTCTCCATGCCTCTTGTACACTCCACAGACAAAGTCATCCTTCGCTATTTGATGCATGAGAAAAGACTACGGGATAAACATATCGATATCTCTTATTCGCTTCTGTACCCCTCCTCCCTCTCACACTCTGAACTCCTTGACATATAATCTCCTCCCAACTTGTCTCCAACCACCGCAATTCCTTTATCTAACCCTTCATGCACCGAGGTTTATCCCATCCTATTGCCTCTTATTCCCAACATACCTTTTCATGTTCCCGACGCCCTCTCCTCCATATTTTCCGCTTCTCGTGTTGTGTGTTGAAGTACCATTTACCCAAAGGTTTCTGATCTCTATTTGGTGAGCAGACTTTGGTCAACATTTCCTATAACTGCTCTCTACGCCCCTAAGCTCTCTATGCCATCATCCTTCTATTATATTGTCCTCTTTTCCCATTATCCCCAATATCTCCAATCTCTTCTCCGCCTCCGATTCTCGTGTCGGGTGCATCAAAGTACCGTTGAACCCACGCTATTATCCTTTACCCTAGTGATTGAGTATAAGATTTACAGTTCCAGGAGTTACCCAAATTCGTTATATCCGATCCATCTTATATTCTCGCGCACTTCCAATGCTAATTGTCAATCTTCGCTCAACGGTAAGTTCTAGTCGGATAAATTCCGCTTGATCTAGCAGATATACTGATGTTTACTTAGATTCCAAGTGACTCCGTCCAGCTCTGTGCCCTGGTTTCTCCATGCTCGCCTGATACTCTTTTGCTCTGCTGCTCTGTCAGCCTCGTCGTTATATTGCCTGCCACCGCATCTACCTGTGATCGTTACATGCTGTCTCTGTTACCGGGTGTTCCTCAATGGTGGGTGTGGACCGATTGCGATCTTCCTCTATGACAACAAATCTGACATCCCTTCGGGTACAAAAGTAGCTCTTCATATGTTTCATGACCTCTTGAACGACCACCCAAGACAACAACATATATCGCTCGTCTATCCTTTCATTCCTCCTTTCACTCCATTTCTCTCCTCTTCGCGGTCAAACATTCGATCAAGGCGAGGAAAGGCTTCGCAAGATGAACCATCAGCGCAAGATATTGCACAACAAGTTGAAGATGTACCGCGTGCCCCTTCAACAGCTCAAGTTCAACTACACAACATTGACTACCAATAAGAAAGTCTATACAAAAGAGGATCAATTCTTGTTGCTCATGCTGGACAAGTATAGAATCGATAGCGAAAATCGTTATAAGAAAACATACAACAAGATTCGCGAGTCTTATCTCTTCTGCTTCAACTGGTTCTTTTTCAGCCGGACACCGCCGGACACCTGTTGAATTCGGGCGTCGGTGCACCACACTACTGAATACTTTCGCTAAGAAGTTAGAAGTTCGATACCACTGAAGACGGAAAGTCGAACAGTGAAGATGGCAAAGATCTCGGACGTCTGCTACATGTCGCGCTGGCGTATGCCATTTTTGATTGAACTATACATCATTCAATACGATTACACCTCGACTGGTTCTTTCTCAGCCGGACACCTGTCGAAATCGGGTGTCAATACACCACACTATCGAATACCGTCGCTAAGATGTTCGAGACCATTGAAGACAGAAAGGCGAATGGTAAAGGTGGCAAAGATCGCGGCCGTGATCGGGATGAAGAGAAGGTTGAGAATAAAAAAGAGGCCTCTATAAAGAAGAAAACTAAGAATAGTACGGTTATAAGGTATAACTTCTTTTATAGAAAGCTTCTGCATAGACTTTACTGACGCGTCTTGCAAAACAAGCAGGTAAAGGCTGTTAAAATAGTACTTAAATAAACTCAGTCTTTATATTGCGAAATGCCAGTGTTTTATTTAACGCCGCCTCGAAATCGAAGAGCTGGAAGAAGTGATGTCTCTTAGCTTGTGCGCGATCTCGGTATCAAATGAGTAAGAAGTTGTGTACCACTTCGAGCGGTGCACCTCTTCGCAGCAAATGATCAACTGCGGCATCTTGATCTCGAGCTCAGTAGCAAGCCTTGTGCTCTCCGATAGTCTATGTGATTCATCAGATAAGTGAGAATACTTAATGAGAAAATTGTATTTGCCGAGTGGCCGCAATGGTCTTCTGTAATATACACATCAGTAGCCTCGGCCACCATATTCGCGAGCACAAATTCGATGAACATAAGCCAGTACTAGGTACGTCACGGTACCTACTCTCCAAACAGGAAACGTTATTGTCAGGCGGCCATTCCTTGAACCACACTCAAAGTCCTTACGCTATCATACCTCTTATTTCGGTAGGAAACACCCCATAATAAATCCTATGCTTTCGCACCTCGTCACAAGTTTGTACAATCGCCTGGCGCAGCCTATCTAGCCTACAAGTCAGCGCTAAAATGAGGGCCCGTGGCCACATTCACAAAACACTACGCATGCAACGTTCTTGTTATTTTAAACTGCGCTATTAAAAAACTATTTGATCCATCAATCTGATTTATAACAATACTATGCTGGTAGTTATGGTGGCCGCTTTCACAGAGCTAGTCACGGTCACCTCTGCGTTGAACTCGAGATAAACGAACTGCTTGGCCCTCTTTCTTGTTCTAAGCAGGATTTATTCTAGCCCATAAACACTCACCTCCATGTTCTCTATGCGATACTGCTTATGTCCATGTCCTCTCCCATCTGTACATTTTTCTTTTGCCTTATTTTGTTTAACTATTGTTTGATCTTGCTCGTCTTCTTTTGCGTTCTATTTTGTTGTCTATCTGAACTCTGCTATGTTCTTGCCTGCTGATGGAGCTTGTAGCTGTTCTTTTCGAACCTATCTGAACAGTATAGAGAGATAATTGTTTCGGGCTTTATCCGACATTGTGTCTGTTCTTTTGCTATAAGTATATTTGGGGTCTGGACCACCAATTTCTATTTGCCGGCGCCGTTCAACATCAGAGATAGTACCACTGTTGATGAATCATCTAAGTCGAAGTAATCGCTTGAGGATTTTGATTGTTTTAAGCAGGAAGCCAATTGGCGATCCGACTTTCTAAGATCATTTTATCTTTTGTCTTCCTGGAATGTATTGAGCTCCAACAAAGGTGTCACAATACACAATAAGTTGTTCCTTTCGGAGGTTATTTGGTAGTTTGATTGGTGGATAGGGAGACTAATGATTGCGCTCTATAAACTAGAAACTGCTTCGCCTTCCCCAAGCCTGGATGTACCTGGAAGAGAGTGAGAAGGAGGAGATTCTCAAACTCTTTCCGATAACGCGCAACCGAATTCTTACCCTCCATCTGGCGACTGTGCACACCAAACCACCTCGTTAAGTTACGAGAGCACAGATCACATTCTTGACTCTGAGAACAGTCGCGCTGTATTACACGACGAATATTGACTTACTAACAATCTCAGAGCGCGCTTACTCCTTGGGGGTGGGATTTCGCATGATCTATTGATGTATCTGGAGCTTTGTTATTATTATTACTCTTGGTACCGAGTTGTCAACATGACATTCAATTCCTATTGATAAGATACTTGGTCCTTTGGCTTAATCTCGGTATTTCCTCGAGGAGCACATAATGTATCCATCGATTGGCGAAGCTCAAGGGCTAGATTTGAGAGGGAATCTCGGCGTCGAGTCGACTTGCTTGGTGTCCTTTTGCTGGGAGGTCGCGAGGGTTGCCTCATGAGAGTCTGTCTGAGAGTTGGAGTAATCCGTCTTCTGAGAAGATATATTCACGAAGAACGAATGGGTTGCTTTAGCAGGTCAATGTCGAGTCGACTTGCTTGGTGTCCTTTTGTTGGGAGGCCGCGGGGGTTGCCTCATAAGAGTCTGTCTGAGTGTTGGAGTCTTTTGAGAAGATTTCTTCAAAAAGAACGGATGGGTTGCTTTAGCAGACTGCTCCTGTGTATGTTTATAAGGGCCCAGGGTTGAGGTTTTGTGGCTGCGATGTGTTTCTTTCGACCACTGATAATGTCGTCTATGAGCTGGGCAAGCCTTTTCTCCGAATTTGCTCCCACATTGTATTCAACAATGAGAACCTTGCTTCCAAGAGGCTGAGCCTTTTGCTCAGCTACTTTGCCGCGTTTATTCTTCCTCACCTTCTTCGGATTGTCCTCAACCTTGAAAACCTTTTCTTAAAACCGGCCAAATAGGAGATTAGTATAAGCCATTTATATAGCACTAACATCAGTCGTATTAGAGAGCATGATTAGCAAATCGTACTATTTGTTCTCTACGTTTCGATGACATATTGTTCCATTCAGAAGTGGCAATCTAATTTTTGAGTTCTTTCTAATTTAATAGCTGGTTCGACCCCGTTTTCTTGTTTTCATTTTAGATTATTTTTGGCGGCCTTGAGGCCTCGAAAACCAGACTGTTCATCACCCGCCACAGCAATATTGTCAGTGTCTCGCCCAGTTAGCCTCACGTTCTATCGCGAGTACATCAACCCTGAACACACCCGGGGCTTTTTTATTATCACTATTAGTATTGTTACTATGAGTAGTACTTACTCTGAGTCGACGCAATGCTCAATGCCCGCAATGCGATTGACTGCGTTCCGGGCCCATAAGAACAGGGAGCAGTCACCCCTCGCCAGACGATCCGAAGCGAGATTGACCAGATACTGACCCCAACCATCCATCCACCAAGTATCGATGATGCGGCCAATGGCGGCACCATAGTAGCCGAGCAAAACAAGGGCCATGGGCTCATCCTGCATCAGAGCATCTAGGAACTCCGACTGCACCACGGCAGCCCAACGCAGTAGAACGGATGCATTCTCCTTGTCGGCGCACATCTGGAGTACGCCCAAGAGACTCTCCGTGGCATGCACAACAGCAGGCGTTGTTGGTCGCTGATGGTTCGAGTCGAAGTCATGCCGCTGCTGCCGCTGCTGTTCTTCATGCACTTCATGCAGAAGTCGGTGGAGAGCTGTCGCATGATGTTCGATGGATGTTTTCTCCTGCATCCTCTCCACCGTCAACAGACCGCGCATGCCTCCGCTTGCAATCCATGGGCGAGCCTGCTTCACCATGAACGCCGCCCCGCGGATAAGCTTGAGGACTTCGATGACGTCCGACACGGACTGGGCTTTGGGCTGGGCGTTGGGCCCGTGAGCCGCGCAGGCGAACATAATGACCAAGCAGGCGAATGCGAAAAGAGCGTGACAATTATCGGGCGTCACCTGACTGAGGAGGGGAGAATATAACGAGAGGGCGGCGTTGTTGTGGGTCATCGCCGCTTCGATATACACCTGGCGCCGTTCGATGGGGCCGTAGCGCGTAAGGTGCAGCGCCGACAATGCCAAGAGGATGTGCATCAAGAAGGGGTGGCGCAAGGCCTCTTGCGGCACAAATGTCCGCAGCACCTCCCTGGTCGATTCTTCGGAGACCAGAGTCTTCCATATTGCTACATGCCAGTGGTTGAGAAGTTCGAAGTCGAGCATAGGAAGTTGTGTGCTGCTGTCAATCGAGGGGACAGTGTGAGTCGAAGGAGGCTGAGAGAGACCTTGAGGAGTGCCATCGCCATAGAAGGAACAATAGATGTTTCTCTTGCGACAGGGGCTGCAAATAGGACGCAATTCGTCACATTTGATTCGGCGCTTCTTACAGTCGAGACACCCGTGATGCGATTTAGGGTGTGAGCGCCGCAGTGGCATCTCCAATGTGGAACCGGAAGAATGCGAGGAAGAAGAATGCGGAGAAGTCGAAAGTCGATGATGGCCTGAGATCTGAGGCAAAAGGGAGGTCGCCGTAAACTATACCATTTCGGGTATAGATCTCGAGTTTAGAATAGAGCAGTCATTGATTGGCTGAGCCATCTCGCTTATTGTTCTATTCTGGTTCGGCAATATTGGGGCCTGAGAGGGAATCGTACGTACCACCTCTAATGCCTGTGTATCCACTAATATGCCCCCTTTCGCAACGCCTCCATCGTTTTCAATGAGTTAATATCTTGGCTCACAGCTTTTTCTTTGAGATGTGGAGAGCTGGCGCCTCCAGTATGGAGACTAGCCAATGCAATAAAAAGGCCGTTCATTGCCTCCATGTCTCGGTGAGTATCTCAAGTGCTGATCATCGGTGCAGACAACAAGCAGGGACCGATCCTTGGAAAAAGCAAGCAAGATGGTAGAGCTCGCAGCTCGCTCAGCATTTCGTTACTACTACTACAACCCCTCTCTGGCTGCAGCAGTCATTTTCATCATCTGCTTCCTTCTCACCTCGATCTGGCACACGTATCAATTATTTCGCACCAGAACATGGTTCTTCATCCCCTTCCTCGTGGGCGGATACTGTATGTCGCCGCTTCTCTCTCACAAACGCGCCCTCTACGTACGAAAACGACAACTGACCGCGTTCGCAGTTGAATTCATCGGGTACTGCGCGCGCGCCGTCTCAGCGGAGCAATCGCCCAATTGGACGATGGGTCCATTCCTAGTCAACTCTCTCATGCCGCTGGTCGCGCCGGCGCTGTTCGCTGCATCGATTTACATGGAACTCGGTCGACTGGTTGTGGTCCTTCACGCAGAGCGGTACAGCCTGATCCGACCCAAATGGATGACCAAGATCTTTGTGCTGGGCGACGTGCTATCGTTCTTGCTTCAGTCCGGGGGTAAGAGCACACTTAGCCTCGGGTCAAATTTGGCCTTCCTCGGATGAATTTGCCCTTGCTGACGACAGACCTCTGCTCTTCTTGCGTACAGGCGCTGGTATGATGGCTGGAAAAACGCAGTCCAGCTTCAAGACGGGGTCGAACATCATCGTCGTGGGCCTCGTGGTGCAGATCGTGTTCTTCGGGTTCTTCATCGTCACGACCGGCTTCTTTCACCTGCGGATGATGAAGCAACCGACCACATACTCGCTGAGCTCGGGAGTCAATTGGAAGAAGCTGGTCTGGACGCTCTATGCAGCCAGCGTTCTGATCCTGGTGCGATCGATCTACCGGTTGGTGGAATATATCGAGGGCTTCGGGGGCTATCTGCTCAGCCATGAAGTGTACCTCTACGTGTTCGACGCGCTGCTGATGTTTGCCGTGATGCTGATCTTCCATTTTGTTCATCCGAGCGAGCTGAATGCGTGGCTTAAGTCGAGTGGGTTGATCAGTAAGGGTCTGCGGTTCGAGCGACTGAATGGGGATGCGATGCAGATTGCGTGAGCGGTCTCGAGTGCTTTACCTCTACTATACCATGTATCCGGAAGATTGGTTGCTTAAGGCCTTTTACCGGAACACGGTGTCATATCGATTTCAAGGTGGTGATCTCTTTATACATGTGTATCTAGGCCGACGGGGTAGGGGGTTTCCGCAACTCTGAGCGGTCTGTTAAAAGGCCAAGAATTGGGCACAAGTGTCTTGACACAGTCAAGAGTGAGTGAAATGGGCAGGGATACTTGGTAAACCATCTTCTGGAGAATTCGTGCGTTTGAGGGTGGTCAAAAAGCTTCATTTTTGGGGTCGAGTTTCTACACTGGAAGGGTTGTGATCTTCAACAAAGACACTGTTCATAGATGGTGCAGTGTGCCAGATGCTCACTTCAATGACTACTAGCAAGAATCAGATGGGTGGAGGTGTGTATTCAAGGAATAGGATGAAGTACTTGTTGTGAGGGAAAGAGGTATCAACATTGTAGAAAGGTGTAGAGTATTAGGGGAGGATAGTTACACTAACGAAGAACTTATCTGCAAACTTTCACGAAAGTAGATGACAGTCTAATCGAGCCCAAGATATGACCACATGAAAACGAAAGAGGAGAGCGTATGGATATATGCTTCAAACACGGACAAATTGTAAAACCGTAAGCCCAGAAACCAAACAACCGAGGCCTTTTTCCCCATGCACTAGCCTTTTTTTCCAAACCGAAAATCCCAAGCACGCTTTTACCTAATTATCAAGAACCAAAGTATTATATCGACCACCAACTCAGGCCCATTTGCCGATCAAAGCCATGATACCAGCACCGAACAACATGCAGAGGACCATGAAAGTCAGGCGCTTGTTGTCCTGGGTGCGGTGGGGATCGAACAGGAAGTCTCGGGCCATCAATTCCACCAGGCCGGTGTAGATCAGGATACCGGCGGAAATGGCATCGAGCACACCGGAGACCACGTTGGCTGTGAAGGAACCCGAGTTGTACGTGGTCCTGAGTCCGAGACCGATCGCCACAGAGATAGGCGTAGTCAAGCCATACAGGGCACAGAGCACCCAGGGGAGCCAGCTGCCCTTGCGGAAGGGGATAGCAGACATGCGGGCGCCGATACCGAGACCCTCGAAGGACTGATGGAAGACGAGGACCGGGTACAGAGTGGAGAACTCATCACCAACGACACCCAGATTCAGACCGATAATAACTGAGTGGAAGATGACGCCGAACTCAAGAATCAGGAAGGCGGCGATCTGTTGCTTGAAGGATCTCTCGATCCAGGCCTCGCTGGAGGTCAGCGATTCGGCGTCGGTCTCGTTCTTGCGCCGGCTGGTGGCAGCATCCTTCGTGACGGAGCTGTTGTCGGCGGCGCTGGTCATGATGGGCTCGGGATCCTCTCTGCAGATGCCGTACTTGACCTCGACGTAGCGCTCGGCGCCGAAGTCGAGGAGGAAGATGCACATGAGCGAACTGAGGACGATGGCGGGGCACCATGAGTAATCCGCCCAGTGACCGGTCATGCCAACGCAGGTCTGCGGGCCGATCTCGCCATAAGCAGGGTCGAGCAGGTGGATAAAGGCCGTTGCGATGATGACTCCTGCACCGAAGTACCGAGCGAAGAGGTAGACATATAGGGGGATGTGCAGGCGAGGAACGCGCTTGGCAATCACGGGAAAGAAGGTGACTGCGGTCGAGACGATGAAGATGACGAAGATGGCGGAGATCCGCGCCCCCAGGTGTCCGTTGTACTCGTTCTCAGCGGCATTCAAGTAACAGATCACATCGACTGGGTCGGCAGTATCGAGATCGACATCGTTTGGGTTGAACGACATTTTTGAATATGCTTCGGAGGTCTATGCGAAAATCTAGACAAAGGAAGCTTGTTTAGGAAGAGATTTTCTGCTCTGACTGTCTTTCTGAGCCGAGTCCGAGCCTCTCTTTATATGGAGATATCGCTGAGGATGGTGGGCACTCCATGGGGACCTTGTGGAATGGTTGCCCACACTAAAAGAATGGATTGCATTGTGGTCTCACGCGATCCAGATTTTAACAGAAATGACAAGGAATTCATGACTAGCACTGGTTTTTTTTTCGGCTTTTCATCAAACTCCAGGATTTGTTAGATGCGTTTCTCTTCAACTGTGAAAGAGGTATGAACGAGGAAGGATGCGGTTGAGGGAGAAAATCGGCAGGGCAGCATTGTTGGCCTGAGGAACAAAAACCACAGCGAGCTGACAACAACCACAGCCACCACAACAACCACCGGACAATCTCCGCCGCCACTTTTCTTCTTGCCATCCAACTAACTCAACGGCCCCACCCACTACTCTTGCGTGTAGTAGTACCTTGTGAGCAAACAGGCACAGGCCAACAAGGAGCGTGGGATAATAATCTCGCCTACCGAACTACACCCACCGATTGATACGAAAGGCCCCATCGGTGCCCACCTGGTCCTCTCTAATCGCACCCAATGCTCTTACTGCGTCATACGCTCGGGGAGCTCTGGCTGACTCGATGCTTTCCAAACAGGTCCCCAATTGGCGCTTCACTGGGATCCTGACAGAAACTATTACTATTGCATAGTACGTCTCGTTATTACTACCTTGGAGGGGTGCAATCTTTTCATTTCCACTTGCAGAGGGCAAGTGATCATGGTCCTTTTTCTCAACCAGGGATACGGCTCTCGGAATTGCATCGGCACATTTACTAAGAGTCACCGAGTCGAATAAACAAGCAAGGAACAAGACTGCCTTGGCAGGTGGAAAGTCCAAAGTCCTCCCGAGAACCATGCGCTCAGTGTCGTACTGTCAATCTAAACTCTCCGACGGCTACCCACTTGGTCTCGGGCCAGGAGCCTATTGTGTCCAGTCGAGCATAGACTTTGGCCAGGGCCGACACCAGTTCAGTAGCCTGCATCGGATACGGCGCTAGCTTGTTTGCCATGATCCTGATCAATCGACCATTGTGGATACCTTACTCATGTTATTCCCGAAAGTTAGCGAGGTGATGCCAAGGGAGGGTCTTATTCACTAGCGGGTGGTGCCTATACCCTCGTCCATCAATGCCAAGAGAACGTATACTCATAGTTCGTTGCATACAGAACTGACATGGCATGTCAATGGCATGCGGCCCGACACAACGTGGTCTGCAGGGTCCCGTTGCATGCATTTGGAATGTATGACTCTTAAGGGTTACATACTCTAGCAGACCACGGCTAGCTCAACATCTACAAACACAGTGGATCTGGATTGATTTCCGATTTGGCAGTTCTGAAATATAGCAATTTTCATTTCAAAAGCTATCATACGACATTTCCGCCACGATCATACATCGACAATCTCTCCTTCCGCGTGGTTGTCCATACATCGCCTTTCCACCAGTCGACAATTCAATGTGTGTGCTTCTCGAAACCGGTGAACTTGACATATCGGTTCGGGTGACTAGTGCATTAAATGCAATGCTTGCCGGAGTAGAGCGACATAATCGAATTTAGTGCTAAAAACTCTCGTTAGGCATTCAACCCGAAAGAAAATGGAAAGGGGAGACCAACGCTGCAAGAGCTGCAGGAGCAGCTAGAGCAGTTGCCGGAGCAGCAGTTGCAGGAGCAGGGAGACATGTTGATCGAGGAGAGGAAGGCTTAAAAGCGCTTGAAAAAGATAAGTTTGAAAGTGGTTTGGATTCTTTGATAGAGAGTCTGATACGCTTGATGATGGAGAGGAACCACAAGAGTACAGCAACACACACGCCCTATTTATACCTTTTCTGAGGTCCCCTCTGCCCGAATTCCGGCGGCTTTCGCGGTCAGTTGCCGGTCAAGGATCATGATACCACTCATCGCATTGGTTTGGCGGCGTGGGGGTAGTAAACAACGCAGCGAACCAGCATAGGCTGTGTGATGACAGCTGCGTCTCGCGAGTAGCTTTTCCATGCAGCAAGTTGAATAACATCGCCAGGCTTGACTTTGACCAACCACCCGACCCTCATGGGCTGATTTCTTCTTCTCCACCCAGTCCAACAAGTCTGAAGGCCTAAAGCCACGCTAAGAGGTCAGTCACCTTGCCATCACACGGGGTGGATTCGTATCCAGTGCGGACGGGAGCGGAAGGGAGGAGAGGGGGTGCGGATGATCATTATCATCTACTCCCTTCATTTCCATCTCTCTCACCCCATAAGACCGACAGAGACAAAAAAATAAATAAAGCAGAGAGAACCTTTCCAAAAGGTCACTGAATGTGCTCGAGGCTCATGATTCTTATAAAATTGGTGGGTTGTGGGTGAGCACCTTGAGAGCATGAGCACCTTGGTGGCTCTCCGGCCTCAAGGTCCTCGAGGTCCTCACCAAACCCTCCGAATTTTCACCCTCACATTTCCCTGCTCTCCAACCACCTGCAGTGGCTTAGCTTACGCGCCAGAAATCAGAGTTTTCACGTCCCAAAATGATAGACACAAAAACTCACTATGTGGGTCTAGTTACAGAGGTTCCATATCCTAGATCATGTGTCTCGTGAGGACTACCAGCAGGTATGTCTCCGATGCTAGACCTCATGATATACCCAGTCGCTTGCAGGAAGCACCAGAACCAAACCTGAACTGACTCAGTCAAGCGAGCCGACTGGAGGTACCTGGTCCATAGGCTATCGTCACAAGTTGAGTATAGCACACTCCAAATTCCTTTCTCCCTCCCTCTGCCCCGACCCCATCGGCCATCCCCGGCGAGGAGAATATAGACATTCTATTTGACCATACGCCCTGAATTCAATTTCGCTTTCTTTTTATTTACGACTTTACGTACTCCAGAGACTAAATAGTGATATCATCGCCCAATTCCTCCCATAACCAGTTCCCACGCTTCTCCGGCGGCGCCCACCGAAACCCCTTTTGACTTCATCAACGTTATCACCCTATACTCAGTAAAATAAGGCCTGAGAAATCACAGTTCTCTCACCCGTAAGCCCTTCATCACCCAATCCCAAGACTAAAAGCAAGACAGCGAAGCAGCGAGACTCAATCGGCCCCTTAGATTACCGCACCTTGCTCACCAGACTCCACACACGCAATATACACCGCCAAAAGTAACCACACGCCCATTCAACCAGCCATATTCGTTCCAACTGGTATTAGAATAATCTGATCTCTTGGTAAGAGATGATCAATATTGTCCTACTGCTTGATAGACTTCATTCCACGCTTAAGCCCCATTGATCTTCCTTCAACCGACCGAAAGGAAAGCCTGAAAAAGACCCTCAAAGTCACGTAACCATCCCAAACGACAAGAAAGGCAAACAGGAATTCTGAAAAGAGATGGACCTACCGCCTCCCACGTAGCCATCCAGACTTGATGGATGATGTACTGAAATGGTTACAGCTTGGAACACACATAATCACAGCCTAGCACATGGTTCTAATCCCACGTATACCCAGCACGAGAGCATTTTCGAAGCACCACTTGACAAGGCAACCCTGTTCCCTCATGCTGCCGGTCGCAGATTCTCTCTGCCTTAGTTACTACTACTACGTGCTGAGTCAAGGACGGTGAAAGAGAGAGCGTAGAGTCACGTGGGCGCCTACCTCATGGGTCAGGGTCTGTACGAACTCCTCAAGTTGATCAATCCTTTACAAAGGTTTCATTTCAAACTCAATGAGTCAAGAGGTGTGCTTGCAAGAAAGCAAAGATAGAATCGATACTGCATTGTAAAGACTGAGTCTGTATAATACTACAGTACAATGCGCAAAATGCAAGCCGCAGGTGATTTGGAAAGAGCCCGCCCTGTGCTTGATGCTATTCAACGACTTCACACCAGGCTGCTTCTTGCTTCTTTGTGTTGAAAAGTGGCATAAATGGTCAGAAAGAAACTACATACTTAGAGCTTCCAGCCACGATGAACACGCCCAAAGGATTGTATCCGTCCTCAAACTGTGTGAGCTTGGCATCGATCTTTCCGAGACCCTTCTGAGGACCCTGGGAAGCACACATGATCCCTCTTCCACCCATCAGTTAATTGGAGCGGACGTCTCTTTGAACGGTCATCCATCCAACCACATGTCTCTCGACCTGTTCAACTTCATCTATCCCACAAAACTTTCAACTAAAAGTCTCACAAAACTTGACCCTTCCGATATACGAAGAAGGTGATTACCTCGAAGCCCCCCATAGAGAGATATTCCTCATCAACCCGGTGAATCCCTCCCCGACCCGAGCCAAAGGCGCCTCGATCGCAATAGGCGCCCACACCAGACTATCCCCATCCACACCCAACCTCGTCAGAAACTCCATACTAGCCTGCTGACCATTCGCCCTCGAGACCCGAAGAAACGTTCGATTCCCCTTGCCGACCAGACTCACATCCGTCCAGACATCGACCGGGAGACTATAGTTCAGCGAGTACGCGTTACCACCGCTGACCAGGGTGAGGTTGCTGATCGACCCGTTGCCGTTGAGAAGCGTGGAGTCAAAGCCAGAGAAAAGCGTCCCCGGCACTTGAGAAGTGGGCTTGACAGAGAAGGAGAGCGTGTAGTCTCTGCCTTTACTGGTGAGCGGCGTTTGCAGGTAACAATTATCGGAGAAGGTGATGGCTGAGTGGCGGATCTGGCAGTCGTGGACAGCGCCGTGGTAGTTGTTCCCTGAGAAGTCCTTGACGCTGTTACTGTCGTTCTGAGTGAATCGGTACTCGAGAATCCGCCGTCCTTTGCTCGAAACTCGACGATCGAGATTCTGCCCAGGAACAGCTGCGTGGAGTTTGTCAAATATGCTGTTATATTCAGCTTCGAGAAGATCGCCACCCCACTGTTTGTCGCCCAGGGCAGGAAGGACATCTCGCCATGAATAATATGCTTCCGAGACAGTGGTAGCATTGGGACCATAGTCGTTCCAGAGGGCGGCGATGTGCCCTAGCACACCCGGGCTATCGCGGGGTGGGTTGTTCGTGGCGTTCTTTGTATCGAAAATGTTAGGTGCGTATGCGCCTCCAGCGGGGTTTCCATGGAATACTCTGGTCTTGTTCAGGTACTGAGGATAACTCCCAGACCACTTCCCGACAATGTAGAATGCGTCGTCGGAGTTGAGAACATTGTATCCATTCTGAATGTAGTCAAAATAAGGATTGTCCTCAAAGAATTCCCAGTGCTGGATCGAAACATCCTTGCTAACATTCGCTCCTTGCGAAGGTGTGAAGGTCCCCCAGATCCGAACAGCTTTCCCAGACTCCGCCTGTATATAATCGTTCAGTTGATTCACAAAGCCGGTGTAATCATCTACCAAGGAAGAGTTGTATTCGTCCGCTCCGAGGTGAACGGTTTTGCTGTGAAACCAGGGAAGGAGTGTTTTCCAAATGGTTTTCATGGTAGGTATTGTGTCTGGATGAATGATATTAAGCATGCTGAGATCCTTGAGACCCAGCTCCGGTCGCCATTGAACGATTGCTAGAGCGTGGCCCGGAGCCTCAATCTCAGGTATGACGGTGACACCCCGACGAGCACACTGCTGCTGAATCTGATCAAACTGGGCTTGCGTATATGACTCATTGGCGCGCTTGTTGAGACCTGCGAGAGCTGGATCATCGGACCACGGGCGAAAGGATGCATACAGATCCATGCTAGCCTGCGTTGAATATAGGTCAACGTTATTGTAGAGGTTGTCGCTAAGATGTAAGTGGAACACGTTCTGCTTGAAGAAGGACAGGTACGAGCAAATCTCTGCCAGGAAGTGAGGTGGGTAGTAATGGCGACCGACGTCAAGCTGGAGGGTCAGCTTTAAAAGATTGCAAGGTCTTGTCGTGGAAAGATCACTCACCATAACTCCTCGGCTGGCCCAACCAGGCGCGTCGACCGCAGAGCCATGCGGGAGAGCATGGCCATGGCCACCCAGAACAGCTGCTTGGATTACTGAGCGCGATCCCCACCAGACCCCGAGAGGACTCGCTCCCGCAATAGTGATTCCATGGCTGTCAACCTCCAACGCATATCCCTCCGAGGTCCACCGCCCAGCAACATCCTGAAAGCCTGTATGGTTTGCGAGAGTCAGAAAGATCGTGTTGTGCCCTCTGCTGCTGTTGAAA